AATGATGCCGAACCAGAATGGATTCTTGCACGAGCGAGAAAGGTAGAGATCAATATCAATATCATATCAATATCAATATCAATATCATACCAATATACTACAAATACCAGATCATTCAAGATTGATAAATAGATTATTGCTATATTGATTCATCACACCGTAATCCTATTTCCATCTACACTATCTGTTGATTGATTACCCAGTAAGCAGTCTCAACATTCTCGTACCGGTAGCTCTCGAAATATCTCCGGAGTCAGAAAGTAATCGATTCTGAGTAAGTGATCTTCTAGTTGATAGTCTCTAGTCTAGTCAAGTGTTGCATCTGCCGGTAGATCTATATATCTCTCTCTCTTTCCTTTTCTTAAAATAAAACGGAATGATCATCCCGGATGTGGAGAATGAAGATGTTCGAGGGAATTGCTAATTTGAGATTGTGTTGTAGATGGATAGGGTAGGTATGATAGGTATGATGTGTAGGGTGTGATGTGATATGTTGAATGGAGAATAAGTTTATTTATATTGATTGGGGTTTATTTATAAATGAGGGGGTTGAATCTTTCTTGGTCTTGGTCTTGGTCTTGGCTTGGGATCTTTTGTGATTGTACGATGTCTTGTGTGGTGAGGTTGATAGGGGGTGGGAGGGGTGATAAGAGGGATGTTGTAGGTAGGTAGGTAGGTAGGTAGAAGTGATGGATAAGGCATCATTGGCTGGGTGGATGGAAGGGTGGAAGGGTTATTAATGATGGATGGAGGGATAGAAGGGCGTAGGTATATATGATATGATGTGATATGTATGTATGTATGTATGTATGTATGTATGTATATATCCAAAAGACATTTAGCAAACCGTCACAAGTGGCAATCAACCAATCAATCAATCTAGCCTAGTCCTGCTACCTACTATCAATCTCAGTATCAGCCTACCTCAGCCCACCATATCAACCCGTTTTCCCGACCGACATATTGATCTTGTGATATGATGCACACACATACACATACAGATATAGATATGAGGAATATCATCTTCAGCTGTGAGGTTCATCTGTGAGGCAAACGAGTAGATAGGTGGTAAGAAGGCCTTTCTCTAGCACCAACCATCAAACCAAGAGATTCAGTCAGTCAGTCAGTCAGACGAAAGGAAGAGAGAAAGGAAAGAAGGCTGAGTAAACTTTTCGCTGATATTTCTCGGTGTATGAATTTGGAAAGGTGGAAATCTATCTACTACCTCTAGCTACCTATCTAAGTAGAGAATCTAAACGATATAATGAAAGATAACGGTATATGTATAAAAGAGTGGGAAGACGGAATGTAGAAGGAATTATATATATGATTTGTATACCTATCCAGTATATATGTATATTCATCTATTAAGTATGTATTTGTGTGGAATAGGTAGGTATTTAGATGTAGAGTTTTGGGTTGAGGTATATCGTGTGTATATCGTATGTATCTCATATAGAATTAGTCTTATATGTAGGTATTCAGATACCTAGATTAATCAACTCCTTTTAATATCTTCCGCTCTGAGTTTCTGTCCATGATGAGGCTTTTTTTTCAATTGATTGATTGATTGATTAATTGATGGTGTGGATTGCGTAATTCTTGATTCTCAATAATTGAATAGTAATAATAAATGTTTTACTCTTTTACGTAGCTACCTATACTATATTACTGAAATCGCTTTTACGGAGTCCGCTTTTTTACAGAAGACAAGGTAGGTAGGTCGTTGGATTTCGTTGCCCCTCTCTTAGGCATTCTTATAAATCGATTGGGCTTTGGTGGAGGGATGGATTGTGAAGATGAGAGGAGAAGGCTAGGTGAGAGGTTTTGGGTGGAGAAGCTGGGAATACTTAGAATAGAGGAAAGTAAAATGGATTTATTGATGGGTTTTAAGATTTGATTGGTTGAGCAGTGTTGGATTTGGATTGGGGTGTTTGTCTAGGTCGGTAGGGAGTCTTTGTTGATTGATATCTAGGCGGAGCGGAGGAGGGTATTCCTGGGTAGATTGATGGGAGCAGGAAGTATGTATGATTTGATGATGTGAATGATGATGTGAATGATGATGTGAATGATGATGTGAATGATGATGTGAATGATGATGTGAATGATAATGTGAATGGGTTAAAGGAGGTAAACGGATAATGAGATTAATAATCAGAGGACCGGTGTATTACATCCTATACATCCTATTGAGAACATGCACAGTACATGTTAAAGTAAAGATTACAATCAAATTTATACACACCAGGTAACTCAGGACCATCGACAAGTCCCGTATAATGAGATTGTGAGTGATAACCTGGGTAATTCATCCATCGGAGATTTGCAGAGTCGTAATATCATACTCTACGCATGATAGATACGGTAGATAACCTAGGTACTTTGCTGATCTGTGTGAGAGTCTGGTCTGAGTGAGGCTCCGTCCGTGGGGAGATCAATTGACAACACGGACGGTACTAGATTGGAGTGACTGGATGGTTTGGGTTAACCTTGTTGTGTATGGAGTATGGTGTATGGAGTTTGTATTGGGATTGATGGGATTGAATTGATGTATATGTATATATGTATATAATTATATATTTATATGTGTGTGTGTGTGTGTGTGTGGTGGGAACATAAGCATGTGTTTATTGTTTGCATATTTTTGGATGGTTTGGATGGATGTATGTCGCTTTTTATTGACTCTGATCTTTGATCTTTGGGTTGGATTGAGTTTGATCTTTATCGGAGTTTGAGAGTTTGAGAGTTTGATCTTGATCTTGATCTTGACCTTGGAGTTTAATCTTTGATCTTGACTTTGATCTTGAGCTTGGAATTTGAGGTTCGTTTGCTTGATGGATAAAGGAATACGGATCTAGGTAATATAAGAAAGGTAAGCTTGCTTGGTTTCTTTCTATTCCTTCTCCTGAGTGCTGAAAGCATATACTCCGTACTTATGTTAATAACTTACAACCTATCGTAGAGCGAAGCGAAGAAGCCTCCACGGCAGTGGCCCAGCGGAGCGTCATTGATCTAGATCTGGATGTTTACAATTGTGACTTTTCTGAATTGTATTTATGTACCGTGTGCTTGTATCCTCCTATATTCATATCCCCTTGCAATTTAACCCTTTTCATCATCCAGCACTTCACAGTTTCACCTACCACTCCATCACCAAGCCATTCACTTGCGTTGTCGTTGCATTGAAATTGACACTGCAAAAGTCAAGCATTGTTCCATTTCTGATACTTGGGTGGACTACCTCCATCCATCCAGGAAATATCTTTCAGCCTATCAGACACCGATGTCCAGGATGTTCTCGATGCTCGAAATACCGGTCACGGATCATTCCTTCAATAGGTTATGTGGCATAGATCTTTGACCCGAGAATGTCTTGGAGCTAAACTATTTATGGTATCAGGTGATGAGGGTTTTTTTGAGTGGAGGTGAGGGTGATTATGTAAGTTTGTTTGGGTTGGGCATGGGTGGGTTTGGGATGATTGTTTGGATGGGAAGCATGATAAGTGGTAGGTAGGTAGGAAGGTAGGAAGGTAGGAAGGTAGGAAGGTAGGAAGGTAAGGAGGAAGGCAAAGTAGAAAAATAAGAAATCAAGAAATCAAGAAAGCAAGAAAGCAAGAAAGCCAAAAGGCAAGAAAGCAAGAAAGTAAAAATGCCTCTTTCTCCTCTTTCCTCCCCTCTCCCCTCCCCTCTTTTATTACCCTAGGGAATCATCTCAGACCTACCTACGTACTGCCCAGCGTAAAGGCACAACAATGATTGAAGTGAAATTCATGGCAAGTGATACAATGGCGGAATCATCTTCAAGCGTACCTGTCCACAATGATGCTGAGATGGGAGAGAAAAAGAGAATTGAATGAAGTAATCAAGCAACGAAATGAGATGAGATGAATTTTCAATCTCTTTTTGAGTTATTATTCTGTTCATCACCGGTACTGTGATTTACATTGATTTACCTGTGAACACACATACTAAGAAGATGATAATAAATACGGTTGGTACCTTGAGTCCCTCTTATTAATCAACAAAGGCATTATTATTGTTGTTATTATTATTATTTTTTATTATTATTATTATTATTTTTATTATTTTTATTTTTATTCTTATTTTATTCACTTACTACCCAATCCATCCATATCATACGCCCTTCCGAGCCACCCAAACAAGGCCACGAATTCGTCCTACCATTTTAAAGTCTACTACTAATCCATTATCACTGTGTAGTTCGTACCTACCACCTGCTACTGCTGCTTTTATCACCATTATTACAGTCAGCAAACTTAAAACATCGAGACCCTTTCACCTTTTTTTACCTTTCACCACCGCCATCACCATTACGAGCACTACCACTTCAAAACCATTCAACTCCCTTCCGCCCTCCCTCCATTCTCCATCTTTCATCCTTTCGACCAGATTGGATCAAGATAATCGATTTCACGGTACGTACACTGATTTTCTTATCTGAGGGATATTGATTATGGGAATATCATGTCACAATCATGCAAATATCCTGATTCACGCGGAGGGGATCAATCGATAATTTTTCCATTTTCCATTTTCCACTTTCCAATTCCCAACCCGCCTGTTTCGTCTTCTACCTACCTACTCTACTCTACTGTACTCGCGTTAGCCGCTTCTTTCCTTCTTTCCTTCTTTCCTTCCAAATCTACCGTACCTACTCCTACTACTTCATCTTTCCCACATACACACACACACACACACACACACACCGCTTCCCCTACTTCCTCAACTACAAAAAACACACACACACACAACTCAACCCCACAACTAATCTGACACGACTTCTCTCTAGTGTCGATTCTTCCAAATCCTTTCTCGACTCTTTCAACCTTACCTCCCTCCCTCCTCCACCTTCTTCGAATCCATTAAAAGTCGACGGATCCTCATCATCAATTATCCATCAACCTCTTTCGATAAATTACATCCTCTTCGACTCTGGTATCGGAATTTCCGATACACTGAGTCCATAGTTCAACTTCAAGATGACTACTATGGTGGGTGCTAAGAAAACAAACCCTCTGGTTTATACTCCCATTTTCCAGCCCTTCATATACACATTCTTGTCTTTTCCTTCTTCTTCTTCTTCTTCTCCTTCTTCCTGCTCTTCTTCTTCAAATTCTAACGCTGCGGTTGGAAATTGAAAATGGAGCATGTTTGGAATCCCTCACCTTGGGATGTAAATATCACAGCCTTGTCTCAGTAGTGTGGCACATGCTCTTAGTCTTTGATCACTCCAATTAATGACGGTACTCATATCTTCATCTCTACACAATGCTAACCTCTCATCTCTCTCTAGGATCTTCGAGTGGGTAACAAATACCGCATTGGTCGTAAGATCGGGAGTGGTTCCTTCGGTGATATTTACCTTGGTACCAACATCATCTCGGGTGAAGAGATTGCTATCAAGCTTGAGTCGGTCAAGGCTAAGCACCCTCAACTCGAATATGAGGCTCGTGTCTACAAGTCCCTCGCTGGAGGCGTCGGTATTCCTTTCGTTCGCTGGTTCGGTACCGAATGTGATTACAATGCTATGGTTCTTGACCTTCTCGGACCCAGTTTGGAGGATCTCTTCAACTTCTGCAACCGCAAGTTCTCCTTGAAGACCGTCCTTCTTCTCGCTGATCAACTCATCTCCCGCATCGAATACATTCACGCCAAATCCTTCATCCATCGTGATATCAAGCCTGACAACTTCCTCATGGGTATTGGCAAGCGTGGTAACCAAGTCAATGTCATTGATTTCGGTTTGGCCAAGAAGTACCGAGACCCCAAGACTCACTTCCACATCCCATACCGTGAGAACAAGAACTTGACTGGTACTGCTCGTTATGCCTCCATCAACACTCATCTTGGTGTCGGTACGTACCCCACATTTTCCACCCCACTCTGCTCTCAATGCTAATCATTGATTCTAGAGCAATCCCGTCGTGATGACATGGAATCCTTGGGATATGTCATGCTCTACTTCTGTCGTGGTTCTCTCCCATGGCAAGGTCTGAAGGCTGCTACCAAGAAGCAGAAGTATGACCGTATCATGGAGAAGAAGATGACTACCCCTACCGAAGTCCTTTGCCGTGGATTCCCAAATGAGTTTGCCATCTACCTTAATTACACTCGTTCCCTCCGATTCGATGACAAGCCAGATTACTCTTACCTCCGCAAGATCTTCCGTGATCTTTTCGTTCGTGAAGGTTTCCAATATGACTATGTCTTCGACTGGACTGTCTACAAGTACCAAAAGAACGCTCAGCAACAACAAATCAAGTCACCAGATGGTGGTGATAAGACCGCCGCGGAGGGTCAAACCAGTGCTCAAGCAACTGCGGGAAACACTGCGGGTAGACAACGCAAGACTGTCACTCCAATTCAGCAGCAAGGACAAGCTCCAGAAGGAACCGGTCACTAGTAAGTCTACCCATGCTCTACTTGTCTCTTGCATAGAACTCTTTTGTTCTTCGCGTTTGGCTTCAATAGCGCTGGCCGCGAAGAGGACATTACGCTAATAGACGGCTGACGCTTTAGTTACTAAAATTAGCCTACGCTCTGCCGGTCCACCTCCACCAGGCAATGGTCTTTGAAATCCTGGAGTGAATGGTCTCATGTAGACGTTTTTTCTTTCTTTCGATGATGGACATTCGGCTACTTGAGACTGACTCAGTCCCACCAAATCAATATCGTTGACCATGCAAGACTTGTTTATTGACACACTCTTGAATTTGGCTCGATCTCCACTCCAACAAATATCTCTTTTATGGACCGCTTTCTTTTTTCTTTCATGGATCGATTACTGGCTTTCCTAATGGCTCGAGCACTTTGGTTTTCATCATGACACATGACTCACATTTGATTATTCCTTTGGGAATTATCATTTGATGAGCAGCGCGTCATTGGAACTCCAAAATAATCGAACGGCACGTCGATGGCATAATTTCCCTTTTTTTCGAAGTCGCACGACAATATCAAATCATCAGATTCTACACTTCGAAATATATCTTGTGTCATCTATCAAATCCGTCATGATCCCGAAACAAGCGAGTACAAGGGGCACATCAAGTCAAACATGCAACTCTTCAATTTATTGCTCTGCATTGGCAAAGCCCCCTGTTTTCCTGAGATATTTTGTTCCGATGGATTTTATTATTTTCTTTTCTTTATCGTTGCTTTTCATTGAATGATATTCGGAACTGTGTGTGGTAGAGGGGATGAGGATGATGTGGTAATGAGGGGGTGATTGGCACTCGACATGTCAATCTGAAGGGATGTTGCATTTCTTTGACAACGTATCTCCGGGGACAATTTTTGCAACAATCGAGATGAAATACTTTTTTCGAAGATCACCGGGGTGACCACACATGGGAATAGCAGCTTCTGGGGAGGTCTCTTTATTTGTTGATTGACGTTTCATTTTTACAAAGCTTAGTTGTGTTTCATGATGGATGGATGGGTAGCTGATGTTGAGAGCAAGACAAGGAGAAGTGAACTGATCTCAAGTTTAGAGATTGTTTAAAGCTCGCATACAAAGTTACTGGTCGAAGATTATCAAAGTGCCTATACATACACGCGCCTATACGTTGTGGAGGAACCGAACCTTGGTTGGGTACTTATACTTTGGTAGATACGTATCTTGCTATAGGTTATTAGAATAGTTGAATGAAACATGAAACCAACTAAATCAAAGTCTAGAGAATGTATTGATATGTGATTGTGATGTGGTGATTCTAGGATGTGACGTAAGGTTTTGGTCAAGGTTTTATGTATGAGAGGTTAGGTATGAGATGTATTATGTCAGAGGGTGTTCTTTTAGTCCGTGGTTTGAATTTGAGTTTGGTGCCAAGATGTGTAGTGTACAGGTAGGTGTATCAATTCCATTGATCTTGGAGCAATTTTCAAATTGAGAAGGGATCGGTCTGGATGTATATATATCATCGAGAGAGCTTACTCGCATAAAGAGGGAGAGGGAGAGGAAGGGTGGAGGTAATACGGGCGGGAGGGATGATAAGTTTCCTTTGTAGTGATTTTGATGGGTGGGTAGGTGGGTGGGTGGATATGCTGCATATTTCTTTTGGGGGTAGATTTGTCTTTTTTCTTTTTTTTTGTCTTTTTTGGTGTTTTTTGGTAGGTTTGGTGGTTTTGTTTGGAGGTTTCTTGTTTAGAGGTATGGATGGATGGATGGTATGGATGGATGGTATGGATGGGTGGTATGGATGGTATGAATGGGATGGAGGAAACAAAGGGAGGGGAAGTGGAGGTGGAGGTTTGAGAGTTCTGCTGCCTGTGGATGATAAGGGTGATATGGGGGTGATAGGGGTAGATGTACGTATGTATGTATTTCTTGATTATTTGGGATTCTGAAGATAGGGAATGGGTGATGTTGTGAGAGATGCAGTTGTGGATTTTGGGCTTAGATGAGAAGATGGAGAGAATGAGAGAGATAGGTGGATAGATAGATGGTTGTATTTTTGAATTCGAAGGGAATAATGCAGATCCTCTTATGAGAGATAGTGGAGTAGGGTGGCTACTCTATTCCTGTGGATGAAAGTTCATCCCTTCCTATCTCTTTAATGTACTTTGAGAAATGGTTTTATGTGTTATATTTGTGTGGTGTGTTCTTATTGCGTGCTTGGCTTGGCTTGTTATTATTACGTCGATATACAAATGGGATTATCATGGTTGGCATCGCGTCAGGAGCGGTGGTGCTCGTTGTCGCCGTCTTTTTTACAAGTTCACACTATGTCGTATTGTCAGCGCATCTCACAAGAGGTATGGATTTACCTCTCAATGTCGATGGTCGACATGCCTGTGCTCAAATCGAGGCACATTGAGTAAGTTCTGCTAGGTATTCACTGTCATTTCCCAACTCGGCTCACTTACTTTGATGAGAAATTGGTGGCAGGAGTGAATATCAAGCTCGCTGGTGCCTTGAAATTTTTACCTTCAAACGGGGTTTAAATCTTGCAAACAGGTCTTTGTCTTCTTCACTATCTCCTTCTCCACCTTCTCCTCCGTGAAACACGATGTTTCAGTTTACCTTGATGTTCTCAAGATGGGCTTCCCAGCGATTGAAGTTCCTCGACTCCATAGGGATCTATGGAGACACGAGGCGCACCTTCCCGTCTTTGTTCTCTGTCGCTCTCTTTTTGACAACTTGACTGGTCCTGGACGCATCAAATGTCAGCAAAAGCGTCAAAGAGCACATCGTTTTCAATCTTTCACAAAGGATTATCTTCATCCGAACGGTCATGGAACGGTCATCAATCGTGTGCAAGATGTAGCTGATTCTTTGTGGGAGAAGGGCCAGTTTCTACCAAACTCACCTCTCGATGATATTTTTCGAGCTTACACAGATCAGAAAACAAAAACCGAAAGCTTCAGAGCGTCGATTGGTTTGCCGCCGCTGGCTAGACTTCTCGACAAATACGCTTTACACTTGCCTGATGAGTACAGCCCATCCAGCAGATCGAGAAAATCGCGACTGCGAGAGAAATTACTCCATGCTGGCGTATCCAAGTCACAACACGTTCCTCGACATGTATCAAAACCGGATGATGACAGGTTACCAATCATGGAGAGTGGAGCGAGCAAATATTACAAAAGCCAAGCTTCTCTTCTGCTGCACAGTCAGTAGCTGTCAATTTGGATAGATTTAGGAATAGTATGTATCGTATTTCCTTCTATCAATCCTTCACGCAGTTGTATCTCTCTTCCGAGCCTAGCATCTAACATTGCATCTTCAGAAGTCATCGTGGAGAAACCAAGGCTGGGAGCGTATGAAAAGGATTACGACTGTACGTTACATTTTCCCATCAGATCTCAACATCCCATTCTTGTCACCATTCCGCAATTGCTAGAAGAAGCACTCTTCAGTCTCGCCGCCAGGTGTTTTCCAGAACATTTGGAAAGGAACAATTGGACACAGCTCGAAGCTGTCGAGTATACGTTGTGGGGCTCCATCTTGACTCAGTTTCGCCATGAGATTAGTGGCAAGCTAGAAAGTGGAAACACGTTTGATTGTATCTCTTATTTCTATCGGCGACTTACAGATGTGAGACATTTGGCAGTTCATAGGCGCGCAGGGGTTCCCATCGAAGTAAGTAGTACAGCTTGTCGTCTCGCAGGCTTTTCTGTCTGCTGCTTCGAATTGTGGGATCGCTCAACACAGAATGGCTAACATCCTGTACGTGATGATACATTGTATGTGCCAAGATGCTCGCGGCTCGGCGAGAGCGCTGGGAGATCATCCAAGAGCTACTTCACTGGGGGGGTGGGGGTTGCAGCAGGAAGTACTCTCATATGGTGAAGCATTCTAGGTTATCTTCTGTCCAACGTGTAGTTTCTCCTGTTGGGTCAAATTCATCGAGAACACGTTCGTGAAAGCTTACGCTTTTGCAATCCAGAATTGATGGCCGCGACTACAACTCGCCGATCGTCAATATCAAACTCATGTGGAAGAAATCCAAAGAAGCAGTTCAAGGTTCTGTGTTAGATTATCAGGAGATTGCCAATTTATACGACACTACATTTCCCTCTGTCATGCAAGTTTCACAAGAATAGATGCCAAACTTCACGTATGCTGCCATGGTTTGAGCTTCATTGGTGAAGTTGAGCAAGGAAAGTCATCAAGCGGAGAGGCGTCTTCTAAGCAAAAGTTTTCGCGGCAAACAGTAGTTTCGCACGGTAGTGATGATGAATCAGAGTCAGGCCTGAACTATACAGAGGGTGCCAAACTACATCTCAATACATTGCTCGAAAGTCCCGAGACAGAAACTGGAGGTCTGCAGGAAGGAAGGTGATTAATCTCACACAAGATGAGATCATTGACCTCACTGGGGATGATGGAGGGGATAAAAATCCAGATGGTTTTGGGTATAACAATTGAAGTGATAGATCAAGGGTTAAGATGAGGTGATGGACACTATGGAGACAATGTGACCGAATTGGTAGTTATAATCTGTGTTTGGATTCAGTTTCTCAGGATAAGCCTTTAAATTTATGCTACATGTGTAGAAATGACTCCAAAATTTCAAAAGTTGTCGATTTAAAGACTTACGACGTTTGTCTTCTCACCTTTTCAGACAACTTCATGCGCTGCCAGCTTCTCACTGCCCATATGTATCTCCAGTTTATAAGACATGCTAAATTTTTTAGTTTTCATCAATTATCTCAGTGTGCATACTACATCACCAACGAGATCACATGGTTAGAATCTCTTTCTCTTGTCCCCAGTGTGAACATTTGTAAAAAGTGATACATTATCGGTATTCACTTTACCATGTCTAGCCCATCCAAATAAGATTACCTATCCATAGAAACCCATCTATATCTTTCAATTCCATAATTACAGGACGACCTGAATAGTCTACAAAAATATGATCGAAAGAAAAAAATAGAAAAAAATAAACTCAAGAAACTAAAATCATCCACGTACTCGCAAGAGAGCAAGCTTCACCGATTCCAATCAACACCGGGTTAGGGAACTGTAACTGACAGAGTTGTACGCCAAGACCATTTGGCCACAACCCCTGAAAGCTGATATAGCTGCGTTTAATCAAAAATATATAGGATGGCTGCTGAAGCGAAATATCAAATGAGAATACCGTAGCGCTATAATAACACTGTGATCTCACACCAGATAGCATTAACCAACCATTCCATGGTAGTCTTTATGTGCTTGATGTGCCTACGTCTTTTCCTGATGAGGCGATTTCCGAAAGCCGATTTATGCTTCTGATAGTTGTCAGGTTACTTACCTAGGGTGACGGTCTGCTTTTGGTAAAGTTGTGATACATTCTACTATCCATCTTCGTGTTTCAATGTCATATTGCTTGAGAATGCTCTCTTTGGGAGAGAGTATCGAATTTTGGAACAACACAACAGATGTTTCTGAATTTCCCACCTTCGGATTTACTGATGATGCCCAGTCTGAATCTGTATTCTCAGACACGCCAGAAGCTTCTCGCAAATGTGAACTTTGCTGTTCCTCTATGGCTTGAGTTCTTCCCGAGTTGGATCATCAAATGGCAGTACAACAACGGTCACTGTTGACTCATCGAAGGATGTACTTATTTTTGCAACCACCTCGCCAGCTACAATAATTTACTTAGTCCCATCATAAAGTATCGTCTTTCCCATCCAGGCAGAATACTTTATCGACGCTCATTCAAGAAGTTACATTTGCATCACTTCAAACTCTTGACGCAGAAACTTACATTGCACGATTGTGTGTGAGATGACGTTGATACTCGAAGACGAATTGCTTCTTAATCAATATCCGGCAAATTATTCGAGATTGATGTACCGTCTCTACAGACTCAAAGCCCAGATCTTCCTTGACGTGTTCCAAAAAGACTGCGGAGGTTTCTCTCTCTGCATGAAAAAACGTTCATTCTATTTGCATTGCACTCGCGAGGATGGTGTGATCATCTAGGCTCCAATCTCGTCTACTTGGTATGTCTTGGTTCAAATGGGGCATCTTCGATCAAATGAATAGAATAGATCTGTATAAGAAGAATACATCTGCAGTTGAGACGCTTGCGTTTCACGTTGTACCATACTGCCCCCTCCATGCAGCTCAACATATTATCACGTGAACTACACCACGAGGAGTGCGGTTTCACCGGACCTTTTAAACCTATCTGTCAATTCCGTATTACATCTCTGAGTCATTTACTGATCCTTATATCATGTATTTAGTCCAACGTTAACTCAAATTGCACAATTAACCTTTTCGGGTCATTTTCTCCGCATCCATGAACCGAGTAATGGTATGTGGAACTCAACACTAATTATCTACCGATAGGTGTCGAGTGATCGAGATGATAGCCTATAAATGCCCAGAAATTATAATCGGTGAGTCAAAACGGCATCGCTGCTCCATGCACATGGCGTAATTTCTCATGCGTCTAGCCGTCTTGGCAGCATTAGCAAGGATGCATTACACCCCTTTGAGCCCGTTTGTCGCACTTTTCGACATTAGATACTGGGGATTGTCGTTCCTCTGCAGAGGAAGGAAAACGACTGGAAAATACAGGTTTGATGAGTCAAAACAATTAGTGTTTGTTTGTATTTACTCGCGCTCTCTTTTTTATCTGTTGCTGCAAGGGAAGAGACTATTTCTCGGGCCATGAAAAGTTTCTATCTCGATATCTGATCATTGGTCATCTACTTCTGCCGCACAAAGTAATCTCAGAAAAGACGAGTTCTATCGTAAATAGCGATATGAAAAAAGCGAACCCAAACGGTAATACGAGAGAAGCGAAGCGTGGAAGAAAGTGCACAAGAAGAGAACAGCTGCAGAGGAACTTGAGGTTCGGTGAGGGACCAAAGAATTTCAAGAAACGAATGAAAAGGAGGCCTGCAGTGGCTCGAAGTAATTTAAGGACCGTCACCCTCTGGAATGGTGTGACAGAGGAGGCCATAGAATCTGGTCCCGGTATAGGTCAGACGTATGCAAGGCTTTATGGTCTCACATGAGAAAAAAACTGATGGTGTTGTACTCGCAGACTCGATGGAAAGACGGAAGAAAAGGGGAAAGCGATTGCACGAGTCGAGGTTTCGGATCCGCCCAGCAAAGAGCCGGAACCTCCTCATGTGGCCAATGAGTATCCTTGGGAATGCGTCGAAGTTGTCATAGATGATGGTATGTAGCTTATCCCTCTGCTCTCATCCCACCACGGAGACTCTTAAACTGAAAATTCGCTCGCAGACTCAGAAGCGCCTCCTCCAATATCCATGTCTGAAGAATTAAATGTAAGAAAAAGGATCCTGACTGAAACGACAAAGTTAGAAGAATACGATATCGAAAAAATTACAATGTTCCACCAAATATTTTGCAATGCTTATAACGATGTCATCGATTACACCAATTATCTTTGGAAATTTCTCGAAGAGCAATCAGACTCCCTGGACTGGTTTGAGATGTATTGGGAAGACCTTGTCTCAACCAAGGATCTTTTTGAAGACGTTGATAAAGATCCGGAGACTCTGCTTTCGCCGGTGGTGATCATGAGGAGATTTCATCAATCTTTCACATTCCTTGGAGGTATCTGGAAAGCGATATTAGACCAGAATTGGGGAAACCTAGAGATTCCATTGCAAAGGATCGTGACGATGAGCAGTGTCCAATCTATCATGAAGTCAGTTGAGCCTCAATGTGATAATCATGATTTCGACAAAGCTGGCTGCCGTTATCCTGACGGGAAGCTCCAGTCTGCGAAGGATTTGTTTGCTGAAGATTTTCATTCAATCAAGAGGGTTCAACTATTTAAGATGGAACCGCCAGATAAAAAAAGCAGCTTGGTGGAAGAACGTGCATACATGTGGATCAAGAAGCTCACGGGATGCCCGTGTGGGACGTGGTGTGCAGGACCTTCACGAAGTTTATGACTGGAAAAGGACTGAACAGTGTGCGTGAATAATTTTTTGGTAAAAGATTATGGCTGTAGGAGACAGGTCTCCATTGTAAATGATACCCCAGACAACACATTGTATAATGACTGACTTCTTATCACTACGTGATCCACACCTTTGCATATCCGAATCGTACCTCTTGAATCACTTCGCGAGAGAATTCCTGAGCGATAGAAATCGCATCAATGATAAGGTTGACATCACAACACTTTACGTCACCTTACCTGGAGTGGCTTCAATTTATTGTTATGTATGTACAGTTCCTGAGATTCTCGCCATTTTCATAACCTCAAGCGGCAGAAGACCGGCGTAGAAACTCATCAATACACCAAGTTCGCTTACTCTTCAAAGACTTTAAGTGGGGAACAAAAAGTAAAAGAGCAAAAACATAGATAAATGAATTATTTTTCTGGAGCAAAACTCCCCGGACCCGAAGGTCCGGATCTACGCCCAATCGCTACGCCCAAAGATGCCGACTGTAGTCTGGGGCCGCTGCCCACGGGAATGGAAAGCCGCCGAAGCGACTTTGGTAATCACTACAACAGGGAAACTGTCAGACTGTCTGTCACCATCATTTATAGGTCTAGAATGTAGAGTTACTAAGCGATGAGGGGTCGCTGTCAGGAAGTGATCATCTCACAGGCTGTTTACGGTAACAGCAACGCCTATTTATAGTACCTGTTCACGCTGGAGATATGCAGTCTTTGGAGGTCCGAAACTATGACTTGACTTAATATTGTTTAACAGTGGTGCTTCATTTTGATAAATAGAATGAGAAGATTTTGATATGGAAAACGGTTTTAGCTTTTGAAAAGCTTCAGAAGATGTTGGAAGCGGAGTTTTGTTCTGCAGAACCAAGCGCTGACTACTCCCTCAGCCCAACTCCCAGGATCGAGACATAACCCATGCTAGCTCGCTAAATTAGAACCACCATTAGTATATTTCTCTCCAACTACGGCGGTTTTACGAGAGGTGGTCGAATTCACTTCTCTGGGTAGTGTTGTCTTGATATCAAAATTCGCCGTCAAGATGAATGCAATGAATATGACAAGACACTGACCTGCCTCGTGTTGGCCTCTAAGGCTGATAACTACCTCCGAACAGGCACATGACTCACGCAGCAAAGATTCACCTAGAACCTTTTTTATAGAACAAAATGCAAGAGAAATCAGGTATTGTCATTTTATTGAAGGCACAAATAAACAGGAATCTTGTATCAGCATTTGCAAGCGCACATTAACGACTACACACTAGTTCATCTCCATTTCATCGTCATCATTTCCCGCCGAGTCTGCGCCACCATTTTCTCCATCCAAAGTGGATGTATGTCCCCCAGCACACAAATACATTTTTTCCAACTCATTAGAGAGTTGAGATTCGTCACTGGTGATCTTCGATGTTTGACAGCGCTCACAGTTCGATCGAGTCCTCGTTGATACAGGTTCGAACTCCACCATTGCCACTATCCTCTTTTTCACTAGAACATAAATTTATCAGTAATTATTCATTGCAACATTCGCAGGCAGATCGACAATAGTACGCACATGAAGGAAGAGAAACAGAAGCCCTCGACTCGGCACTCTGTATCTGTTCTGCAGAGAGATGTGCAAAGCGTTTATTCATTGTCGAATTTGGTGAGAGACGACCAGTCCTAAACAAGAATTCGGCGGCTGCGATAATACTCTTCTTTTTCATTCGGTGCAGCTGCAATGAAACCTCTGGTTTGCTAATCAAGTGTTCGAAGAATTCTCGCCTTCTGTTGAAAATTTTCTTCTCGTTGCCGTGGAATGACCTTCTTGTTGCCTTCGCTGTTTGCGCAAAACCTTCTCTAAATGCCAGGAATACTGCGAGACGTTCTAGGTGGATATGATGATTGTCGTGTAAGATTGGAAGTTGAGATTGGATACCATCGTCCATGACAGTGTCGGTCGGGGTAGGATCATGAGATTCAATAATTTTTTCCATGATTTTCGCGGTGGACGGAATGAGATCTAGGAAAGGGCGCTGAGGATAAATAAAAGAAATAATGGTAAGAAGCTGTGCTGGAAGAAGTTCCTTTAAGCAAGCTTTGACTCCTTCGATGCAGTGAATACCTATCAAGGGTACATATCGCAATTTCACTGGATCGAAAGCTTTATAGATATTCACTCAAGGGGGGGCATGAGGGCAGAATCTTATTTTTTTTTTGGCAAAGTGTAGTGTTGATCCGCCAAACTGAGTCGCTTTGCCTAGCCATGTCGATGGCGGAAGATGAGATGAAATCCTATTTGATTCGTCGAGGGTCGTTGAGCAAAGATATACTTTCCACATTAGCCCATTACACTTACTCAACCATAATTGCCTTAACTTAGAAGGGAACAACCGAATGAAACTTGAAGGAATATAGTAGAATTGATTTGAGCTTCTGTTTTTCGTCCAAGGAAAGAATAGGCCAAGCCGAGAAAATCATCATCGATTGGATGACTTCACTGTATTGTCAACTTAGCGGGAAGAGACGTAACTCATACAGCAATTTCGACGTGGAGAATCCTTCCTAAAAGTCATAAGTAGCGACATGCTGAAATGTGTGTATTGGGAGTAAGCTGCCTTTCCAGGTTGCATGGAGTCGCTGAAACTATCCGGTGTTTAAGAGTTCACAATCTTGATATATCACTTCAACATATAAAAAGAAAGAATCCGGAAAATGGCCAGGCAAGTCAGAAAAAGGTTTATCTGGACAGACGCGCTTGCGAACTATCCATCACAACAAAGTAAATCGGTAGTCATACACTATTCACGGAATGGGCATTGAAAAGGGAATGTGGAATCATCGTTGATTGATATAGCACAAGCTCCATGTCCATTGAGAATATGTCGAGGCCCTCAAGAGACAATCCAAGTTCTCGCAACTCCAGGTCGTTCTATCATCGTGAATATTCGTAGAATCGTCATTTCCTGCCGTTCATATCCACCAATGGAGGTATTTACGTTCGCGATCAATCATATCACAAACGACTCGTACACACGAAAATAAATCAAATTTTATGAGGGAATCGTTTTTGATTTGATGCAAGATATCCGGATTTTCCCAAACGCCCCTCTGCTGCTTGTTGCATCGATCTTTCGCAAGGAATTTTGGGTGAGGTCCATCTTCTATCCATCAAATTGCGTATCGAAAACTAGAGCCATGTCTAAACCCTCATTGAGCCATTGCCATTAACCGAAAAGACGAAGCCAAAAGAAAAGTAGCAAGAATATATCTGATCTACTTTCTTCTGAAAGAGCAGCCCTCAGTCAAACGAGCCTTACCACCTGTTGGTTGGCAGAGAACAGTTGAGCATCCAGCGCAGATGACAACGGTTTGGGCGTGGCTGAAGACAGTGGTGATGGTGAAGCATCCTGGGCACTTAACATCCATGAAGAAGGATCTTGGGGCTGGGACAAGTTGCTAGAGTGGCAAAAAATATTAGCTTCTGCCAATTCTGAACCGAGTCGAAGATTTAGTGAAAGGTGTTGTCGCATACCTTGAGCTTGTGCTTGCGTGCCTCAGCAGCTGGGGATGGGTTGAGGAGATCGATTGCGAGAACCTAGGTGGCAAATTCTGATTAGCCATTGACCTCATCCAATATCAACCATCAAATTCCATCATCAATGCATCCATTCCAGCAATTCGAGCCAATCCAAAGGCGAACAAATAACATTTTCCAATCCATTTCAAGCTTGTTCTCCTCCTCGTGATTGTCGTGTGAATGTCGTGTGCCATTATACAATTCCACCTCATGCCTTCGAACCATAATCGATGCGTTGATGTGGGGATAATTGATTGAGTGATTCCTTACCATCTTGACGTATTTTGATCGAAATTGTTATTCGGATATTGGACTGACGGGTCTTTGTCGAAGTCTCGAGTTTTTTGGACGTAGAGGGCGAAGGTCAGTCTATTGTCGATGGGTCGAACTGGTAAGTATCAAGAGCGGAGAAAAATGAACCAATTCTAAAAACCCTAGAGTGTGCCAGATTTTTAACCGAGATCGATCACGTGAAGACGAAATTCGACCGGTAAAAATAGCTCGTGCTTTTAAGTGGATCGGCTTTTGGGTCATCTTTGCTCCGACTACCCCTCCAATTGCTCAGAGCTAGCCCAGGCTGCAGATTGTGGATTCCACATACAATTGTCTTGGAGCAAATTTAGGTTAAGTATCATCATAATACAATAATTCCTCAAATCAGCCTCAACCTTCACAATCATGGCAGCTCCTATGGATCAGAGAATCAATGTTCCTATAGATGATCCAAATGCCGATACAGAATGGAATGATATTTTGCGAGCCAAGGGTATCATTCCCGAGAAACCTCCTTCCCCCACGCCCCTTATCGAGGAGGCCATTCTCGAGGGACGTCGTCTTGCGCACGAAAACCGACTTGAAGGAAAGGATCTCGATGAGCTAGACGCTCTTGAAGATGAAGAAGATGATGCCTTTCTCGAACAATATAAAAAACAACGAATGGCAGAATTGTCATCTATATCAAAGAAAGCCAAACACGGCGCAGTATACCCTTTATCGAAGCCTGATTATCAGAGAGAGGTTACAGATGCAAGTCAAGACTCGCCAGTATTGGTCAATCTCACGAGTGGATTGGGAACGAATGTGGAAAGTAGGGTCTTGACTGAGTTGTGGAGAAGAGCAGCTGTTGAGTTTGGGGAGGTCAAGTTCTGCGAGATGAGGGGTGACATGGCTATTGAAGGTTATCCCGACAGAAACTGCCCTACAATACTGGTGTACAACAAAGGAGATATTGTGAAACAAGTGGTTACATTAATGACTATGGGAGGTGTGCGAGTAGGAATGGCGGAGATCGATAAGCTGTTGATTGAAATTGGAGCTATCAAGGATAATGACATGAGAGTTACGAAGCGGAGACGTGATGCAGAGGATGAAGAAGAAGAGCGTCAAGAGAAGGGCGGTATTCGAGGTTCGAAGCTGCCCAATGTTGAGAGTGATGATGACGAAGACTGGTAAAAGGAGATCTGGGATCACATTGCATAGCATTTGGAGTTTTGGTGCATATAGGAAGACAAAAGATGAGATCTTGTCCTTATTTACCGCAATTCACACGCGAATCCTCATTTGAAGGTCCACAAATATGATGGGTCAATTCTCCGAGTGCAGTAACATGCCTTTCTATTTGTCTAATTACTTCCAATGGTGATTCTCCAACTTAAGAGTCATCGCATGCGTTGTGTTTCTCTGTTGAATGTACTCGCAAGTTTGTCCAGTGCTATTCTTTCAAGCTACCATTCAAGGAATCCGGCCAATAACCATCAACTAGGTTCGCATCTACACGAAAAACACTCTTAATAGGTCGTAGTTCTTCACGGGCGACTGGAACCTCGCAATCTCTCGTCGAATGATTTCTGAGTCCCGCATCTTTGGCTTAGGAAGTATGCTTGAGAATTCGCAGATGTAACGTCTCAAAGCTCGAAAGGAGCTCCGCCCTGACATACTTCCAGTAGGGCACCTACAATGGGTAGGTATTCTTAGAGGCATTTCTGGTTGAAAAGACGGCTGGAGATTAATCTTCTAATCATTACTCAGTACTCGCACTCTCGAAACCATGCTCTTGAATGTCTCTTCTCTGGCCTTCAATTTTACTCATCCATTTTGCAGGCCTCTGGAGTAAACACTTCAGCGATGACTTTCCTGTCTCCCCCTCAGCGTGTGCACTGATATGACACGCCTATACTCAATAGTAGGCTGGCTGGTAATCGAGGTGCTTCTCACATGATCAATGCTCGTCATGTTGGAAGCATGCTTTCTGTCAGGGAATGATTTCCAGAAGCTATCGTTTCGAAGATGCCTGGGTTCGTCACACACTGCTCCAATCTCCTTATAACCAATTTCTCAGCTCACAGAAGTGGTTATTTTTCTTTGCTTCAAAATAGCATCATCCCATTCCTCCGGAAACACTCCTCGAAATGATCCATCAAGCTGCTTCAACCACCGGTACTCCACACCTTTATAGAGCTTTATTCCACCATGTTGAAACCCAAACTCATTCTTCGAGACCGGCGTAATCCTTGCCGAATCAAACGTTCGAATCACGTTGAATGAATGATATTTGGTTCCAAGATTTTCGCTTTCAATTTCAACACATCCACTTTCGACCCGTGCAATGGCACTTTCGGGATTACAGTCTTGCGAGGAATAAAAAACAACCACTGTGTTATCATCTGATGTGCCAGTATTCATGACGAATACCGAATTGGCTGTTTTGGAGAAGCGTGCCTGGCATCCTCTATTTGTTGATCCGCTCCATGACCGCAGAGTTTCTTTACTGGCGCATCTAGACTCGGCATTGAATTGTATCCAATAAGCGGATGCGGATGCCATGAGAGAAAGCAACACAGAAATATAAATTTGATACAACATGTTGGATAACCTTACCAACCGTAAAGAACGATGAAAATATGAAAAACAACATATGATTCTTCGTGTTCGTTCCGGCCTCTATTATGAAGAATGAACCTGCGTTAATAAGCTTCACTGCGCCATGCCAAGGTCAGCAAATGGGAGAGGTTTGTAGTCAGCACTATTTCTATTCTATGCGCGCGTGATTAACTTTCGTTATTACCTACAAGTTATATTGAATGAGTAACATGAAATTACGTTTCTGTAATATTGTGGGAGACACAGCATAATCTGGGGTCAGCACTTCGTCCTTTTGAAGAGATGGTACATCGTGAGAAGTCATCAATTGGATAAGTGGCATGATGATACATTTCGTGAAACACGAAGTTCTTGAAGAAAATGATGTTAATCCTTGCCCTTGTAGATAGATGGCTGGAATCCTACAGGATGAGAGTGGAGATGGCTGTAAGTTTGGGGCTTGGCGCATGGTATCAAGGATTGTGATTGAAGCACCTCCCGGTGAGCCATGGTTTGGATGTTAGATTCGCGAGGTGAAAATCTGTGCTTTGACGAAGAGGTCTATAGGATAAGTGGTAGAATATTGCCAGCGAATATCACAATCTCAATTAACATCCAAAGGTTCTCAAATACAATGTAACGATGCCAGATTGGATTGGTTTGATGTGTATCGACATCTTCCAGGTAGTCCTGAAAAAGAACTCAAAGGTATTACTTTCCTGGTGAGTCCTCAATCGCTATCGCTTTTGACTCAAAAATTCAAAACGAACTATGTCAGTTACACTCGTTACTCTCTCTGGGATATCTTTCTCTGTTGTCGGTCATTTCTATCACTTTAAAATGAAAACAGTAAGATGAGTACAATTTGTCAACATCAACGCTCCTAGTATTGAGGGACTATTTCAAACCACATATCACATTCCCCCCCCTCGCCAGATTTACAAATACAAAAGATTGTCAACCCTATCCTACCATTTCATCAATTTTTCTCCCTAAGAAAAGTAAACTAACTCTCGAAATTCGCAACATGAGAGATTGAAAACTCGATAACAAAATCCACTACCGAACTATAAATGATTCGTAGTCGGCAAGGTCGAAACCTCCTTTCTTTTCGCCAATCTCTTCTTTAATGACTTCCATGCATGCAGTATAGTAGACCAAAACAGAGCCAAGCAAAAGTACCAATAGTGTCAGCACGACTATAATAAACCCGTTCATCTCACTGTTGTTATGTTAGTATTGTATTGGATTTTGACTTGAAATTGTGGGAGGATATACTTGAAATTGATAACACGATACTAAATTGTTGATATCGGGTGTGATTCCAATCGCTTTCAAGTGATTAAAGAGGTAGATATTGTTGATGAGATTGATTCGAGAAAGGTCTTAACGTCGTAATCAGCGGAGAGACTTGAGAAGACTCGTAGCGAACAATGTCTAGATGCCTTGATTCTGAACTCTGGCAACCGTGGAATCCGATGTCTGTCATAGTGAGCAAGAAGAGCTAGAAGAACTATAAAGAATTCCATGTTGATCTTCGAGCTCAAGAATGTTGATCAGATAACGAGGAAAGCCGGGGTGAGTATTGGTGAGTACTGTAAGTTCTATGTGTGGTATTTATGTGAACTCCAGATTAGAACTTTAAGAAATTTAAAGAAGCTGGAGTCAGAGGTAACATTCTATTGTTAGTTCTTCGATGACTTCTTGTCGAGTCAAGAATTGTCTATATCGGGAACGAATTCAGTCATACTTGTGACTTGTGACTCGAAACTCACCACCATTGCTCGACCCAATCCACTTAAATAGCAATCAAGATGGATAGCGACTTAGAAATATGACAATGCAATTTAGCATATCGGTCCTCACTCACATGTGTCTTGCAATAGTCCCATTCCAGCATGAATAAATACATAATGATTTTATCCTGATAAGTTCAACGCCTTTGGTATGCAGAACTATTCTTCAGCTGCAGATAATAAACCCCTCCAACACTGGTATCAAGAGTACAAAAGCCTAGTAATTACCAAACTACCCGAAATCTTGTAATTGATAATAACTAGCTCCAATGGGACAAATAATTCGTGCTCGCCTAGGTCTGACTTTACTGGTTTCCTACACAATGCAAGCTAGAAACAAAAAGACCTCCAGCTTCGTCAACATTCATCCTCGGAACTTGCTCTCGCGCCCTCCGCGCTTTTTCACCCTCTCGCTTTTTCTTGACCTGTATCCAAACCCCAAAAACGCCGACAGATAGGCCGATCACTGCAAGTGATGATAGAGCAACAATGGATACTGTCCCCAAAGGCATTGTTGACTGGCTGGTGATGTGATATTTTGCTGGTTTAGAGGTTAGAAAAGCTGTAAGT